CCAGCAGGGATTGCTGGACAAGTTGACAATTTCCACTGATTCCTAAGGGGCAAATTACTAATGCGTTGTCATGGACGGTTTGGACAAAGAGGAATGGTGTGAGGAACCAGGTGGGGAACTACAAAGGCAAGAAAGTTCAGAGCCTGGGAAGTGGTGGTGGGACAAGGATGAGTGGTCAGAGGGAGAGGACTGGGAAGAGGCGGTAACATACTGCCACTTTGAATTGTTATACCTAAAAAGAAGATGGGGAAACAATTTAAAAAGCAAGGAATTTTTTTTGAAGGAAACGAACAGGACAGAAGGGATTCTGAGTTGTGTCCACTGTTAATTCCACCCATGGGTAGGCCAGCTAAAATTAATGGGCTATTCTCTGAGTCGGATGTAGCAGTTTACAACTCTCTCTTAGGATGGAAGAATGAGGCTGGTTCAGGAGGCATCAGGGGCTGCAAAAAATGAGGTTGAGCAGTGCAGGCTTTGAGAAATAGCTTCCCAGTTTCACCAACATTGATGGAGTCTAGGGAGCTCTTCATATTCTCTCTCGCTCGCTCTCTCTCTATATATATGCACTTCATATACTATAAACACATACACGCAAGGTGTATTTTAAAAAGTATACACTTAAAAAAATAAAGTATGACAGTGTCAAATAATCACAGCTTAAGGTGGAAAAAAGATGGTCCGGACTTGCACGCAAATGCATGCAAAAGTGGCACCGACTAGAAACACTCCAGTTTTCAACGTCATCCCTGCTTTAGTATAGCAAAAGGTGTACAGAACGGCCACATAAAGTGATCAGTGTGCCGTATTCCAAATAAAGAACAAAACATATAACCCCCTACCCCACTAGGCCCTAATCTAGAAATCAGAACCTAGCCCACTGCAAAGAAGATAATACATTTCTGAGCTGGGGTGGGCGTGGGTGTGCATTGCAAATAACAAAGCAGTCCTTGAATATTTAAGGCCTTAAGTCTGTAGTCTGGTTTCGTACAAAAATATGTATGCAGAACAGTCTCATTAATTTATTCTGTTTTTTCTATACTCCACTATTGGGGGGTGGGGTGGGTCTGCTTACCTACTTTTGAAAAAGCAGCATGCCAGATTTTGTAGATGCAATACCAAGCGCACTTGGTTTTTTACTGCAAAAATGCTTTTTGAAATATTGGAACCCCTCCCTGGCCCTGGGGTGGAAACTGAGTGGGCACCCACTGGGCTGGCTATTTGCAATGCTATCCCTGGTGCACCTGCTTTTCATGCAGAAGGTTCTGGATTCAATATCTGACACCTCCAGGTAGGAATGGGGAAGTCCTGTCTGAAACCCTGAAGAGATGCTGCCAATTAATTTAGACAATACTGAGTTAGATGGGCCAATGGCATTATTCAGAAAAAAAGTGTGTAAGTGTGTGTGTGTGTGTGTGTGTGTGTGTGTGTGTGTGTTCATGTGATGAGCTGGTCCTTATTGATGAGGTTAGTGTCTGATGGTCTCCACTCAGGTCCTTCCCCAGCAATTCCCCAGAACCTGGTTATGCTGGTTTTAAATAACAACACTTTGGAAGTCCCGAGCCCCAAGGAGGTTAGATTGGCCTCAACCAGGGCCAGGGCCTTTTCAGCTCTGGCCCCGGCCTGGTGGAACGCCCTACCTCAGGAGATCAGGGCCCTACGGGATTTGACATCTTTACTCAGGGCCTGCAAGACGGTGCTGTTCCACCTGGCCTTTGGGCTGGACTCAGTCTAACCCCCCTCTCATTTTTTATTTTTTGGGATGGAACCCCTTATATGGGATTTGTATATATATTTTTTTGCTGGCCCATGTAGGACCAGCATGGATAGTTGGCCCTGGTGAATATTTGACATTTTCTTCCCTTATGGCTTTGATCTATAGGCTACCACTAAAACGAGGCTGCATTTTAAGCTGCATTTTAAACTGTATTCTAACTTATATTTTAATCAAATGTTGTTGTTGTTGTTTTTATGTTTTTACTGTATTTATATTTAGTGTTAGAAGTCCTGAGCCCAGTCTTGGCTGGGGAGGGCAGCCTATAAATAAAAAGTATTTATTATTATTATTATTATTATTATTATTATTATTGGCTGGAGCAAACTGCACATACACCCTGTCTTGTAGGAAATATGGGTTCCTTGGGGCATGGCATAGTTCCATTGTCATGAAAGAATCCCATATATATGTGTGTGTGTATATATATATATATATATATTCATATTCCAAACATATGTGAATTTTGTGTATTGCCCATGATCTTGGCCTGAGAGTGTATCAGACAACTCAGAATTAAATGTAATACACAGATGGCAAAGCAGGACGAAATGGAACAAGACAGGTGGGTCTTATTTGCAAAAAGAGGGAGCAATTAGGAATTGTATCCGCTATCGGAGTTTTTTTTTCATCTACCGGACTTGACTCACCCAAGTGTTTGTTCCACTGGTAGATGCCAGCAGTTTGCTCCATTATGTGGCTCAAGCCTTCCAAAACCCATCCAAGGAAAAAGGAGGAGGGGAGACCGTAGCGACTCAACGTCTTTTTTTACAAGACTTGTGCGCTGTCTTGGTGGAGAAGCCATTTGGCACCAGCCAGCTTTTATAAAAGTGGGCGAGGAGCTGGCTAGTTTTATGAGAGATTAAAATGATTCAATACATCCACTAAGCAGAACCTCCCACTGGAGGGTGTAACAGTCATATTTCAGAACGGTACTCCACCACCGAGTCCAGGAAACACACACTGTATTTATAAGCAAGCGCTGAATTTGTGCCATGATTCCCATGGAGCTGCAGAAAAGTCACTGGATGTAACACGGGCTGGAGATTTCAATGTCCTAAGCACCATCAAACCTTTTTAAAAGCAAGTTTCTAGTTCTCGTTATTTATTTAAAGCCTGTTGCTGTTTTTTAAAGAAATAATAATGTCAAGGCAGCTAATGCACAGAAGCAATAAAACAGCATTATAAAACTGGACTGCCAAAATGTTTTTAAAGTGTATATTCACTGTCTGGTGTTAATTCCAGAATCTAGGGGAGATGTTGACTACGGATGGATGGAATGGGGGAATTGAATAATGCTGCTGCAGAGGGCAGTTAATTTGACTGGGGCGCAGCAACAGTGGGAAAGGAGGCATTTAACCCTTTTGCTCTGGTGTTGTTTTCCAGACAAAAAATAATCCCCTGTTATTTTCCCCCTTGTGCAGCACACAGCTGGAGTGGGGGAGAAGCAGCTTTGATCAGGAAAGCAACTTGGCTGAGAAATCCCTGCATGCCTCACCCACAAAAGGGTGGCCAAAAGACAGTAGGTTTTTGCAGTGATATTCCCCATTCCTTTCTGTGCAGTGCTCTCCCTGGGAGATGCTCATGGGGCAATCATTATCAGGCCTCTAGTGGAGTAAGGAAGGGCTTGTCCTTCTCATCATGTTATAGGACCAGCATTTTAGGTACAGTGGTCCCTTGGTTCTCAAACTGAATCTGTTCCGCAAGTCTGTTCCAAAACCAAAGCGTTCCAAAACCAAGGCGTGTGTTCCCACTGAAAGTAATGCAAAATGGATTAATCCGTTCCAGGCTTTTAAAAACAACCCCTAAAACAGCAACTTAACATGAATTTTACTATCTAACGAGACCATTGATCCATAAAATGAAAGCAATAAGCAATGTACTGCAGTCACACAATCAATCAATCAATCAATCAGTAGCTGAACTGGGTTCCACACAGTCACAAAAACAACAAAAAAAGAGCCACAAAAACAAAAACGCAAAATAAATAGCAAAAACAGACAGACCTCAGCGTAGCAGTCAAAACAGAAGCGTGGCACTCAAAATGGAGCACGTTCGGCTTCCGAAAAAAGTTCACTTACTTCCGGGTTTGTGGTGTTTGGGTTCCAAGTTGTTTGAGTAGCAAGGTGTTTGAGAACCAAGGTACCACTGTATTGTATATTTTTAAATTATTATTTAAAAATTGTTTTTTTAAAAAAATAGTTATCTGCATTTAACTTAAGTTGCTTGGAGAAGTTTTCTGTATAAAGCACCGAACAAATGTAATAAATTTCAATACCACAAGGGAAATGGGCTAATACAACCCTTCCCGGTTTTCTGAGTGGGAGCCATAAAGGCAGCACTTCCTTGAAATAAAACGTTTGGATCTCCCATATAACATATAATTTTGGTCTGCCCTTTGGGGAGAGAAACCTGTGCCTGGATTGTCCCACTTCAAAACTGCAGGTGGGCTTATAGCAACATATGACGCTTGACCTTACGCCAACTCAGACCTTTAAGTCCATTTAGTTCAGTATTGTCTGCACTGATTGGCAGCTACTGTCTGGGATTTCAGGCAAGGATTCTTCCCCAGCCCTACTTGGAGATGCTGGAGATAGAACATGGGTCCTTCTGCATGCAAAACAGATGCTCTACCACAGAGCTGTGGCTTATATGATTAAATCTTCCATTTTATTTTTTTATTTTAAAAAGGGCTGCCATGTGGGGAGGAATAAACCCAGATGTCAGGGGGAAAGGATTTTAAGGGAAGGTAAATTTCTGTGTTCAATGATTTACTTATTTTGGTATGGAGAAGAATTAAATTGTACAGGCGCTTCTCCTGCAGTCTGACAAGACTGGCTTGTTGGACTGGAGAGGTGAAGCAAAAGCAGGCAGCGAGAAGTCTGGCAGCTCATTGGCCCTTTAGGTTAGCCGACAGCTGCCAAGTCAACTGCAGTACCACTGTCTGGCCATCCGTAGTGGTGGCGCCCAAGAGCAGCAGGCAACAGCTCCCTCTTCTGGTGGGCTTCCTAGCACAGTTGTTCCCAAACCCTTTTCCCCAAGGGACCTGTTGATGGTCTTGGCAGATCGCTTCCATGATTTTTCCACCCACTGTGGCTCATGTGCTCTGCTAAATGCTGCACAATGTCTAATTGTATTTTTAGTCCTTTTTTATTTTATTTTTTGTATTTTGGTGCATTACCATTTTCATTCCACATAATACAACATAAGAAAAAAGAAGAAGAAATAAACAGCTCAGCTGGTTAGAGCATGGGGCTAAGAATGCCAAGGTTGCAGGTTCAATTCCCATATGAGACAGTTGCATATTCCTGCATTGCAGGGGTTTGGACTAGATAATCCTCAGGGTCCCTTCCAACTCTACAACTCATTCTATACAATTTTTTAAAATTATGCATATTTAATATGGGCATGTCATGGACCAGTTTGGCACACCGTGGTGCAGAGCATTAGGGGTCTGCAAATGGTCACCAATCTCCCTCGTTCAAGACTCCTAGCATTTTTTGCATTAGATCAGCTGTGGCAGACCTCTGGCCCTCTGAACGTTGTCCCCGCCAGCCCCAGCCAGCATGGCTGATGCTTGGGGATGATGGGAACTGTAATCCAAAGAGACCTGGGAGGGCCACTGGTGCCTCAACCCAACACTTGATTGATAGTATACCTTAAAGCAGTAATGGTATGATGTTCTGTACTAAGCTTGGGTCCTAGAACAATAGGCAAGTAGGATCCTAGAATGAAACAACTGATTGGCTTGCAGGAAAAGACCAATCAGGCTCCAGGAGGAAGTTAATCAGCCTATTAGGCTTGTAGGATCGTAGAATGCAACAACTGATTGGCCTGCAGGAAAAGACCAATCAGGCTCCAGGAGAGAAGCAGAATCAGCCTATTAGGCTGGTAGGATCATAGAATGCAACAACTGATTGGCCTGCAGGAAAGACCAATCAGGCTCCAGGAGGGAAGCAGAATCAGCCAATCAGACGGGACTCATTGTGTAATTAATGTATATAAAAGCCTGAGGTTTGGGGGGCAATTCAATCACTGTTTTACAAGCTGCAATAAAGAGCATGAAATCACTACAGGACTCCGAGTATATTTCATATGGGAAGGGAGGGTTCTGCATGCCCACCCTCTGTTTTGTCCCCTGGTGCAGCTCCAGTTTGGAACAGTGATCCACTGATGAGCCTTGGGGTGTGTGAAAAGGCAATGTACAAGCACTGCTTCAGGGGGAAAGCACCTCAAGGAAGTGCCATAGGCTGCTACCAAGCAGTTACTTTTTTATTGTTGAACCTGCATTTCCTCCTCCTCCTCCCCCTGCCTTTACCTTGTGGAACTTTCCATGACTCCTGACACCACCCTAATGCTTTAATTCCTGTACCTGGTATTATGTCTTGTTTCCTATCTTGCTTAGACTTGTTCTCTTGGCTTGCAGTCCTATCCTAGCTGTGGCGCAATCCTTCCCCCCCCCCCCCCAGGCTCCAATCCAGCACACATTCCTGATTCTGACTTTGGATTAATTCTTGGCTTTAGTCTCCTATATTCTGACTCTCTGGCTCTTTGCACGTTTGGCTCCAGAAGGAGAGTCCACAACAATGTGCATCAGTAGAGCACTTTACCAACTAGAAAACAAAGCAGAACCGTATACAAAAGCAACGAAATTCTGGGGGGAAGATGTGGGAGACGATCCACAGAGCCACCACCACACAGTTTAGCCCTGGACAAGAAGAATACCATCGGCAGTTTATTTTACAAACTGCATTTACAAAGGCGCACAGATCGTTTCCAGATCTTGGACCAAAGAACGCTATTGTTGCATCATAAGAATGACAGCTTTGCTCTAAAACGAGTAGCAAAGGGTGCACAACTGTGGAGTTAACACAGAGCCCAGGCACCAGGTTGGAATGAAGCGCAAAGTGAGCTTTATGTTTTTCACCGCTTCTCCTTGCACAACACTGTCTAGCGTCTCTGGTGTTTCTACATCTAGTATCACACACACACACACACACACACACACACACACACCCTTTGTAAAGGAGGAGAGGTAACAATCCAACAAACTACGTACTACAAAAAGCCAAAATTAAACAGGACTATAATGAGGATTGCAAAATCCAATGGTAGGCTACCCTGACCTTCAGCTACATGCCCCTGCTGACAAACGGGTCACTATCTCTAAACTATTCTGAGGGCTTCCATATGCTATGTGGTGTCTGAGAAATGCAGATCACAGCTCCCTGTCTAGGCATCTCAGGAGGAGCTAGAACTTGGGTTGTGTTTTCCACAGCTTCTGTTGCACTGGTTTCCTTGGGGAGGCACTGGAGACTCTGAGCCGGATTTTGCTAGATAGATCATTCATGCTGGAACTGCTACCAAAGAGGAGTGAAGGGGTCTCTGGATCCTCCTACCACCTGTATCATCTCTTTGGCATTTCTCCAGACCCAGCTCCTGGTTTCAGTAGCTTCAGGAGTTTAGGGACTCATGACACCTGCAAAGCACATTCCCCCTGAAATATCCTTACCACTGCCAATCTTCCAGACCCTGCAAACACTTGTCTAGAGCCCTGTGAGTAACTTTCTTCCACTCCGGAAACACAGATTGTATGATTCTTGGGGCAGGAAACTGGTTTTTTGTTTGTTTGTTTTTTTGCTTGAGTTGCTCCGTTAAGGGCCATCGATGCTACTAAATAAATGATGCCAATGATGTCATTATGTTAAACATAGCAAGTCATATATAACTCATATTTCAGGGGATCAATATATGTGAACACATGCTAGCTTCTGTGTTTGTTTTTGCTGAGCAGTAACAGGTTAAGTGGAAGGCTTTACAGAAGGTGATCTTGACATATTTTGGCATAGGGACAAAATCTAGCCCAAGTTAAACACTTCTAAAGCCCACATTGATCCATTTAGGTGTTTAACGTTCTTTCATCAAAATCAATGGGACTTAAATGCTGACTTTATTTGAATAGAGTCACATAAATGCAAGTTTTGTTTCCTGTGCAGCAAAATAGGAGGAAAAATGCATTCATGTTGCACAACTGTTTAGGAATTGCGCCTGCAAATTTTGTCATCACTGCTAGGCAAAAATAAACATTTAAGGCTCTGTCATTCTTTTTAAAAAACAAACGAACTAAAAAACACTAAGTAGGATGTCTGAAGCTTTACAGCTGCTTTGTTTTATGGCAATTAGAGCAGTCAAACAAAAAGACAGATGAGACTCACATTATTGCTGCAGGTTTTATATCGAATATTCCTGCCTTCACAGTTCCTGGAAAAAAACAAAGTTTGAAAGGAATGACCAAGTAGAGTAACATTAAAAGGCTACCCTTTCCCATAAATAATTTTCTAAAATACTGGATATATGTTACGGCTTCTCAGATTTAACTGAAAAGATGATTAAGTAAGGATGACTGTCTGATGAAGCAGTTACAGCTTTTCCTGTTAGGCTTACAGCTGTGCAAAGTCACAACTCACTGAGACGTTTCTGAAATATTATTCATAAAGCATTATACTGTTTACCAGCAGTCAGTTTTGACAAATGATTTACAGGATTAACAACAAGAGCCCTCCAAATCGCACCAAGCCAGTTATTCATGAGCAAATACTCATCTTACGGGAGGCAGGGCCATAAGGCAAGGCCAGCTAGATGCCTGTGGAAAGCCAAAAGAAAAGGCTAAAGTAAAAGGTAAAGGACCCCTGGACAGTTAAGTCTAGTGAAAGGTGACTATGGGGTGCAGCGCTCATCTTGCTTTCAAGCTGAGAGAATCTGCATTTGTCCACAGACAGCTTTCCGGGTCATGTGGCCAGCATGACTAAACCGCTACTGGCAAACGGAACACCATGATGGAAACCAGAGCACATGGAAACACTGTTTACCTTCCTGCCACAGCAGTACCTATTTATCTACTTGCAGTGGTGTGCTTTCGAACTGCTAGGTTGGCAGGAGCTGGGACAAAGCAATGGGAGCTCACCCCATCACGGGGATTCAAACCACCAACCTTCTGACTGGCAAGCCCAAAAGGCTCAGTGGTTTAGACCACAGTGCCACCTGCATCCCACCATAAGAAGCACCCAAGCACAAGAGCACTCTCCTCTCTTGCGGCTTCCAACAACTGGTTTTCAGAAGCATTGCTGCCTCCAACCATGGAGAAAGAACATCGCCGTTGTGGCTAAAAGGTAAAGGGACCCTTGACCATTAGGTCAAGGCGTGACCGACTCTGGGGTTGCGGTGCTCATCTCGCTTTATTGGCCGAGGGAGCTGGCGTACAGCTTCCAGGTCATGTGGCCAACATGACTAAGCCGCTTCTGGCGAACCAGAGCAGCACATGGAAACGCTGTTTACCTTCCCGCCGGAGCGGTACCTATTTATCTACTTGCACTTTGACATGCTTTTGAACTGCTAGGTTGGCAGGAGCAGGGACCGAGCAACGGGAGCTCACCCCGTCGCAGGGATTCGAACCACCGACCTTCTGATCAGCAAGTCCTAGGCTCTGTGGTTTAACCCACAGCGCCACCCGCGTCCCTCTAGCCTTTGTGGCTAGTAGCCATCAATAGCCCTGTCCTCCTATTAATGCCATTTAAGTTGGTGGCCATACCGCGGGAACAAGTTCCATAGTTTAACTAGACACTGGCTCTCTAGAACTGCAATATCTCAAGGGTCAAAGGTTCCCCCACTCCTGCAGTAAGCCCTTGTATTATTGAATAAGACCATAGTTGCATCCATTTAGTTTTTCCTTTACTGGAGCAGATTTTAATGTAACCACCCCAGATCTCCTGTGTTGGGGGATTTGGCCTCTGAATAACCCCCACCCACTCCCTTCCTGTTTTGTATCATTCGTGACTTCAAAGTGCAATATGAAAGACCAACCTGCCATTTAAGCATCTCCTTAGAGAATAGGATGCTCCTCCTCCGCAAGTACGCGAACAATCACTCCAAGCACCCCAGGCGTCCCAGCCGCCTTCTCTATCTTCGTCAGACTGGGAAATTCTTGAGGTCTGGAAACACGACAGAAAGAAAAGTAACTCAGCAGCCCAGGAAAGTTGCATATTTTGCAAATCCTTTTAACTGGTTGTTTACCCTGGGGAGATTCCTAGTCTGGTGGTAATAAGCAGAGATTCCCATTCCAAAATAAATTATTATGTCAAACAGAACAAAGGAGTGATATATTTGCAACTGTAAAGAATCGGTCCAAAATAAAAGCGGTTTTTCTCTTCTTTCATAACTTCGTTTTCGTCTCTTCTGGGGCTTCTAAATTCAATTATGAGCACCAGGCCTTGAAAAACTCCATTTCGACACCAATCTGC